TAGAAGTGACGAGAATGTCTGTTTAAATGTTTAATATACTTGATCAAACACTTATCCTTGCTAAGTCTCTTTCTTTGTTAAATTAGAATCAACTCATGTTCGCAGTCCAAAGCCTGAATATATTCACTTCAGTGTGGGACAGGTAATAGGTCACAAAAGATTTGGCTATTCAGGAGTCATTGTTGGATGGGATGTAAAAGCTAAAGCTCCAGAAGAATGGCTACAACACAAATATCCTCCAGCGAAACAGGTTTGAATGTATTAAACTCTTTCTTTATTAATAGATACACAGAATAACTCAGGTTAAAAAAAAAAAACACAGCTCAGAACTACTGTTACAGACTTGCCTGCTAACGTAATGGAAAATATTTGAGTCCCATATCTCCTGTGCAGCTGAGCGATACCTCTGCTTCTTCTGCACTGTTCTCTGAGTAGAGCTGTGCTTTTGCACCATTGATGGGTTAAGCTTTGCCAGTCAGGGTTGTACTGGACATGTCTCGAATTAAAATTACTCACTTTTAATACACAGTGTTGTATTTAAAGTGGCAGTGTCAACCTGTAATGTTTGAACAGATTTCTCGTGGTGTATTACTGAAGTTGAGAGGCAGTTAAATCTTTTATCTGATCTTCCAGCGTAGGTATAATAATTGGTAACATCTTCACTGCACCTACAAAATGCAAGTAATCCTTTTGCGTTTCATCAATTTCAGTTAGAAAGCAATGTTTTTGGGGATCTGGACATTTGGAATGTAAATCTGTTTAACAACGTATTTTTGTTAGAATTGTTGAAGCTTTTTAAATTCTCTAGCCTAAGTCGTTGTTGTATTTGAAAATCAGATGCTACATCTTTGTTGACAGTGCTGCTCTGATAATACAGTGCTGCATACTCTGTGGGTTGGCTGCCGACATGCTGCTTAAGTGACAGGAAGGCACTAATCATTAAGTCAGAGGACTGAAAAATGAGAAAAAAATGAGAAACTCTGCCCATAGCAGAGAATTCATGTTCAGCTGGGAGCAGAGATTCAGTCCTGTTTTGTGCGTTTTGTTCCTTCCCCGCTGTAGTTTTATCCACCTGCCACTCATTTTTGGCTTCTAAAACACCTGCATCCTTGCTTTCTTTTCTCCCCTCCTTCTCCTCTCAGTATTATTGTCAACAACTGAATGCCCGTGAATTTCCCATCAGGCGTTCTGATTCTTTTTATGTACCTTACATTGTTCTGTTCTCCCAGTGACCTTGTGTTCATCTTTATTGTTTTAATTTCAATAGTGATGACATGTGGTTTAAGTGTGTGTCTTTTGGGTTTTTTTTAACTTGCCTTTGCCTTTTCACGTTGCATGCATCAGCTATGCAGAATGCCTTCTGACCTTTATAAGGCAACTACTAAGCTTGGTCCTTGCAAATCCCCTCTAAACATTAGCCAGGCTTTCAGCCCAACTTTTCCTTGCCTTTCTCTGACTTTCAGTTCTTTACTACATTGTTGAGCAGAGGCCACTGCCTGTCACATTGATCGATAGTAACTGCTTCATAAACTCCAGTTATCTGTCTGTATTCATCCATCACTTTTTTGTGTTTAGATTGTGGGTTACTTTGGGCAGGAATGTTTATGGATAGTAGTGAGCATGGTGGGACCCTGGCCCATGATTTGGGTTCAGAGGCACTGTAAAAATAATAGTAAGCCACGCTTCTTTCTTGGCTGGAAGATTTTTACATATGCATGGAAGTTGCCTTAGCTCTGTCCAGGACTGGGGCCAAGATTGTCAGAGGTGGTATTATGCTCTGAATTTGCCTCTCTCTGGTGTTCCCTGTTGCCACTTGTGAAGGAAGAAGGGAGACTACCAAATTGTTATGGGACCTATATACAAAAAGCAGGGATATTCCAAGTCATGTTTCTGGCAGGATCTATGGGAGAAAAGGTTAATTAAAATCTTGACTCTTAAAGAATGTTTCAGATATGCCAAAACTTAATGTATTACAGTTTTGATTGCTTTATATTTAATTTTCCAAACTGACGTTGGTAAGATCATAAAAATGAACTTGCTGTATGTATATATTGAGTGGTTTTAGGTTCTGTAAGCATAGTGAGAGTTAACTGAATACATAATGTAATCTTTAGTCATCATCTCCCCTTGAGGCTATTTATTTTCCTTCTATTTTTACAGGGTCTAAAAGATACTCCTCACTATCGAATTCTAATTAACAAAGCAAATGGATATGGCAAATCTACAGCTTACGTTCCTGAGGAAGAGATAACAATTATTATGGGAGTAGAGGTAGTATTTATTTTCTGTTCAGTTGCAACTTGTTTGTTAGCCTGTACATTTAAAAGCTGGCTGACCTTTGGCTTAGTAGATACTATCTATCTATTTTGCAAAGTTAGTGAAAATTAATAGAGAAAGCAGATAAACAAATTACTGCTGTACTTTCAAGTATGTGTTTTTGGAAGGTGATACATGACCAAACCCAGGTACTGCCTACTTCAGAGTATCCAACTGCCTAGTTTTGTAAGTGTTTTAGCAGCTTGACTTCTGTTATGTAGAGGCTGTTGCAGACATGGACTTTAGGGATTTCACTGACCTATCAAAGTTGGATGAGTCATTTAATCTCTTTCTACTGGATCTAGCGAAGTATATTGGTTTCTCAATTCCACTCTGAAAAAACCTGCATTTCAAACAGCTTCTGCTCAGCTGCTGCCCAGACTGAATAATGTCTGCCTTCTTAACTGCAAAACTCTCCGGGAACCATAAATTCTGTTTTGTGTATCACGGTCTTGGTAGCTTTTGATTTCTGGCTTATGCAATGTGCACCTGATTCTTAAACTAGTCAGAGACTCTGATCCAGAAAACGGCCTTCAGGCATGCATGCCACATACATACGACTTTTTGCAAGGGATCCAGTGCTAGTGTGGATGCCTTCTTTTAAATTGTGGATAGTGGCAGTATCTGTATTTAAAATAACAGCAAGTAGCTGAACCGTTCATCTAACAGGAGATGCTTGGTCTAGTCAAACAGAGGAGATTCAAATGGGCATCTTTTGCCTTTCAGGGGAACCCCCCAAAGGAATTGTGTAAATTACACTGGCCTGAAGACTCTCCATGCTCTCTCTTGAAACTGTGCCACTGCACGTAAAGGACCCCACTCAATCAATGGGGCCGAACAGTGCAACACCACTAACGCTTTTATTTGGGAGAAGCCCTAGTTCCTTGTTTCTGTTTTAGCCACTGATTGTAATATCAAATGTGCTAACGTGCCTGAACTTAGGAGCAGGAACTATGCTATCCCAGATAAGTGTCATAAGTATTTAAAACTGGGTTCTGACCACTCGTAACTTATGTGTCTGAAAAATGCACCTTTCATTATGTCAGTCTGCTGGCTACCTCCGGTTACCTTTATAGTCCATGGGGAGAAACAGATACCTCACTTTTAACATTTACCTTGCGTAAACTAGCCTTTAAGATATCAGATTGCTTTATTCACCTGCATGACAGGCTAATTCTCCCCACAGATTATTAGGGGAACAAGCTCACAAAATCAGATATTTGAAAGCTGTCTAGTTGAGATTAATTACAAATGGTGAGTCATGCCTATACCTCAAGTTCAAAAGAATGTCTGTGGATTGCCCTCGCTCTGCCTATTAGGCTGTAGGAACGGCTGAGTAATTTCCTGAAGAGTTGAGACTGATGAGAAAATGCTTAGACTTGTCCTAACCCTTTCCCAGTTGACAGTTCTAACCCGCTCTCTGTAGGCTTTCTGCGTCGTGACAAGGCATGTAACTTGGATTGCCCTTTGTGGATTTGCATCTTCCAAGTTGGACATTGTGGCACATCAACTTGGTGTGTCTTCACCATTTCCCCGACTGCTTCTTTACTGTTCCTGCTGCCTAATCGGATTAGATAACTGATCCAGCTGGAAAAAACAACAAATAGCTCTACCAGCAACAAATGAGTGGCAATTACTTCAATAAGAAACAGTGCTGATTTTAAAACATCCATGCTGGTATAGATCTAGCACGTAGTATCTCATGAGATGTCCAACATTTGTAGAGTACTTTGACAGTTTGAGAAAGCCACTGTTCTGATGACATAACTTAGGTTAAGGTACATGGAAAATCCCACTGAAAGTATCTCTACGTACATTATGTATTTAAAAACTAACCAGGAGTTTTCAAAAAGTTAACTGTAGTAACTTCAATGATTCCTTTAATTATCAGTTTGTATTTATTGCTAATTCTGGTGCTTATTCAACTTGAAATATTATTTTCTCAGGTACATCACCCTGATATGAAAGCCTATTTCAGTGGATATGATGGATCAAAATACATTATGCAGCCATGGTTGAAAAAAATCTATCCTCATGACTGAAGTACTTAAGTGTTTGTACATGCAACGTACATCCAGACAACATCTTTCCTTTTTAAACTTGAGCAAATAGACACCAGGATAAAACTTATGTATATTTTTTCCTATGATGAAATAAAACATTCCTAAGCATGTTACGCTGAACAATCCATTTCATTAGAAGCAAACACACTGCACGTTCAGTTTACCATGACTCGAGGCAGGGATTAATCTTCTTCCAATTTTGGGAGGAAAGGTTTAAATAGAACCAAGTTTCAGCTAGGAGTACCAAAGGTTTTGCACATCAACTATCTTGCCCTTTTAGAGGGGGCAGAGGAAGAAACTGAACAGTTAAGAACTCTACTTTCAGAATTAGTAGTAACCTTAATTTTAGGGGATAGAGCTAAATAAAAAGGCCAACAGGAACGGAACTATTTCTGGGGAGCTGTAGTAAGTAAATCCTGCGATACTTTGACTGCTCTCTTTACAAAAGCACGCATTGTGCGGCTTTCAAATGATACATGCAAAAGAAGAGTTAATCTACTTTTTTGCACCTGGACAGATGTTAAGAAACCTTCTATGCTGGCTCGCTACACAACCCCCATTCTTAATTTCCTCTCTTAACACTACTTGCTACCATAAGAATAAAGTAAAAAACAACAAAACTCAAGAAAGCATAAAAACTTTAATAAGAAAATGTGTAGGATTTGAAAGTTTCTAGAGCAACTTGTTTCTTCTGTTTTCTTTTCCCTTTATCTCAAACACAGCAAACACTCTACAAGAAGCATAAGCGGTAGCATTCTGGATTCTTTCCTGCAGAGTCAGTGAATCTGGGGAGTTTGGTAGATGACTGTCTATGTGGCCTCCCCATTCTTTTGTTTCTTCTTCTCTTATTAATAAAGGTTTTCCCAATGCCTGGCCAAACAGTCGACAGACTTCTTGAGCTTTCCGCCGTGTGTTTCCAACAGCAGCAACGCATACTTGACGGCTGAGAGGCAGAAAAAGCAGCACGATAACAAGCAGGGCCAACTGATGTACAAGTATTCCTGCCAAACATTTTTTTTTAATGCCTCAGCTTTTGTAACTGCATAGATGTAAGGCACATCACCTTCCCCTGGGTTCTGGGTGATAGTTTAGAAGTTTGAGGGGGGAGTGTGTGGAGAAAATGTCAGCATCCTCATCAGCTATGATCAAGCGTTTCTAACACCTATACGCTGCAGGCATCCGTGGTGTGTGGTGCAGAGCAATAGTTCAACCCTTGCTCCAGGCATTTGGGTAGTCCAGCTGTAAAGCATACTAGCACCGCATACTAGCACCTATTTAACCCCACCGGCCTGATTTCCAGACTCCTGCGTAGATACCTTCGAGGTACACTTCTGACATCTCCAGAACCGTTAGCAGCAGCTAGTTGAGCTTGCTTCTTGGACCAGGCATAATTCTTTTCTTTGAAGAGGCAAAACCCAAACCAAGATTAAACTTCCCTCTGCCCCCCCCAATGTCAATGGGAGAAGCAGGACTTTGAATAGTTAACGCCTAAAATATCAAGACCGTGAGCTTCAAAGTCACGTGTTTTGATGCTGAGCAAGCACCGTACGTGGTTCTTTTCAGATCACGTCAGCAGCTAAGAGTAATGGGAATTGGCAGGGGTACTTGGAATTACCAACATCTGGTAACACATTTGTACCTTCATGAATAAATACAAATTAAATCTACACGTGCTGATGTAACCAAAGTCAAACTCTGTTGACCTAATATTCACAGTAGATTATACTTCCAATGGAAATCAGTGGGAAAATATTTTTTATTACATTCTGCTTTTGCACAGGGACACTGTAGAAAGAACAAGCTGTATCTTCTAGGCTGAACGGCATTAATTTATAAGTTATATTTAAAACAAATACTGACATTTTTGAACATAATTTTTAATAGGTATGAAGGAAACTATTTGCTCCCATTACAAACAGTATAAATTATGTGTTCATATTAACTGTTATCTGAGGCTGTAAAATTTGTGGCGTGAGAGAGAACTTACCGAAGGGTGTCTACGGCTTCTGGTGTATGGTAGAAATGAGGTGGACTGATGGTAACAGAGGTTCCTAACTTTTCAGTGAGTAGATTGCAAACATTCTGCATTTTTCCAAAATCGCTGAATATAATACAGACCTGGGAGTGAACACAGTCATCACACAAATAATTTTTTTTCATTTTTCCCCTACGATTCAACACTTGTATTTAAATCAGTAAAAAGCCAGATATGTTCAAATTAACTAAACATACTAGTCCTGTATAAAACTCCAATATGTATTTACATAGAACACTTGTATATAGCCCTAGAGACTATCATTAGATTTGCAACAGAAAGAAGGCCATTAAATGGTTTAAAATTGAGGATTAAGAAATGCTCTTTTGTGAGGAAGTACGGCATTCTTGGTATGGAGACAATTTGAAGAATGAACGTGCTCTTTGGGACACATGACTAGATGCATCCTGGTTCTTCCCTTTTTAGATTACTAGATGTTAATTATGCAGAAGCCCAAGCAAAATGATGTGGAAAACATTGTGCAGGAAGGAAAAATTACATTTTAATTCCAAGCATTAGGTTCAAGAAACCTAAACTATGAGATTAAACTAAGCCTAGCCCAGCCCAGCTTGCAGTGGGCTCAAAACCCTGTGTTGGCTGAACAGACTCACTCCAGTGCCTACAGAGAACTGGGCACTTCAGACGTGGATTAAAAACAATTTAAACATCTAGCTGTCTGTGGCTTTGACAATAAGAAGCATTAAATACAGATGCATCAGGAATTCAGGTGTTTTCCCAAGTGCTACAAAGCAGGCATCGCTATCAGCCCTGGATCCAGAGCCCTACAGCCTTCCTTGCGGGGAAGTGCCAGCCAGGCGGCGACCTTCCAGGCAGGAGCCAGCCTTTTTCTGTGGCAGAGCACAGTCGCCAGGAGTGAAGCAATGATGCTGAGCTCCTACAGCATTCAGGAATCAGAAATCCTGGGTCCCAAACTCTTTTTTAGAAGAACTAAACCCTCATCTTCACTTCCCAGTACAGTGCTCTCACCACCAAGTCAGGCTTACCTTCTCTCTTATCCCTGACTCCTTCCTTTCTTTTTGCACAGTAATACAGCTTCAACAGGAGGGGAAGAAAAAAAGCTGTGGTAAAGAAAAGTCCACTGCCAACCCCTGTGACGTACAGTCACCCCCGTGACTGCTGCAGTCCATGCAGCAATCTATCCCAGTGAAGGTGTACGGTACAGAAATCCAAGTTGCGGCATGTCAGCTGCACTTCAGTAGCTTCCTGTGTGCATACCATAGATTTACCTTGTGGTAAATGAGATAATTCAAGGAAGTTGAATCTCTCAGTGAGAGAGGAGGGGGCTACTTCATATACAGGGTAAGGTAAAAAATTGATACTGACAATTATCACAAAGTAATTAATGCACACGTCTTGTTACCCTTGGTAGCCTCTCAGTGCAGTACATGTACCTCATCCTGGCTTGAATCCTTGCACTGGCTCAGTAGCTCTTCACACAACTGAGCCAAAGCTGGGCTTAGGGCCTTAAAAACTAACCAAGATGGACTGGCAGGGCAATTCCATCCCTACAAGGACAAAGGGTCACACCTGTTGTGCAAAACTGCACCAAGTCTGCATCTTAATCTCAGCTGCGCACCCTTGATCTGTAACTTGGGGGTTGGATCACTTTCTGGAAGGTGCAGTACCGATTTGAACAAAGACTGAAGATGAGATGAAACCTAGATTTCTTTCTTTAGTGAGAGTTCTTCTTGCCATATATAAAAAGCATACATCCTCTTGTGCTGTTTTGCCAAAAAACTGTCATAGTCGTATTTTGTGGAAAGTTGAAAGTCTCACTATGAGGACTGTCATAGTATTTTCCAGATTGCTATCAGTGCTTAAAAGATTAGTTCCCTCAAGGGGATGAAACAAAAGAATGATCAAACAAAAGAACTGTGGGTCTTAAGCGAGAGATAAGCTGCTCAGACTGGGGCAGTTCTGGGCACTCAGGAACTTCGTTGTTAAAAGAGAAGCATGTAATCAGGTACCCTCAGGGGCAGAAAACAACTGAGCAATAGCTGTGAAAGTTGTTTTTTTCCCCCTAAAAGTCACAGTTTTCATTTAGAGGTAGACGCAATAAATTCCACTTACATTTACAGAGGATACCTGAGCACTGAAATGCAAAGCAGTGTTTCAATTTCTTCAATAAAATTATGATTAAGGTTAAAAAGTGTGGAAAAAGTAATATGAGGGTATGCAAAACCATTATGGACATTATACGGTTTGGGTAAGGCTGTAAAGGACAAGAAGTTACGGTTTATAAGGAGGCAAGTATATTAAGAAATGCACAAACCCAACATAATCTTCATCCCATGAGATCATCATGCAATAAATGAACTGTTATGATTAAGATATTAGAGAGCTTTGTGATCTCATACACAACTTCATTCTTCTGCATATTTTCCTTTGTTGTAGCATGAATTAAAATTTATCTCCTTACAGTTGAAAGCGTATCCTGAATTCTTAATTGTACCTTAAAATAGCTATTTGTTTGGGAATTTCTTCAGTCTTCTAAAAACTCTTACAGTAGACAAATGGTAGAAAGAGTTTATAGAATGAAATAATGCACGACTTCCATGATTTTATGTGTAACACAAATATAATGGCAAACTCTAAGAAGCGAGTGTAAGTTAATTTTAAATTAATTTATATTGCTAAAGCATGCAAACACGCTGATCAATGGAACTTCATTGGTTTATGAAGCTGCACTAATGAAACAAGTACATACATAAAGGGGGAAGCAAGGAGAAACTAATCTCTGCATAAAGAGCGACCATACTGCTACCTAAGTGTACAGGGCAGCCAAAACAGCGGTATTATGGCTAGATTTTTCAAGTTCTGACACGCAGGTCCTAGGCAACCATACAACTTTTGAACAGCAATTATAGCTGGTCCAAGCAGCCTACAAATGAACACTAAATCCTTGTAATTCGCTTTCCACTTACAATCTTTGTTGTATAAAAATGAATAGCAGAAGGGAGATGATTGGTTAAGTTACTTAAGACTGAAGTTGTAAGTCTAAGCTTGTCTGTAGCCTAAATAATAATTCAGTATAGTTTTATTTAAGTATAGCTTATCTAAAAAACATGGTGATTTAAGCTCTCGTGATAGTAGGTGTCTACTTTATGAAGTTAAAGTCATTCAGAACATGACACTGATGCATACCATTTAAGTATCTAAAGACTCATTTTAAAATCCAAATTTTCTTCTCTAAATTCTCCATTATTTCCGTATTTGTTATTTCTGTTATTTCTATGAGAATATGCCTTAAAGCGAGCAAGCAAACTGAAGAGGCTGAACCCTGTTTTAGGGGACTGTAAACAACAGCTCTATAAAGCAGCTATCATTTTACTGCAGGCTTCCAGGTTTACTTCATAAGAATCTGTAAATTTGCTGGGTAGTGATTAAAGTTTGATGGTCTAAAAAGATCCATTGACTGAAAACACATCATTTCCCTCAGTGAAAGCTTCCAGCACAGCATTTATGTCTTACTATAGCATGAACATGCAAAAATATACTCCCCTGAGCTGCTTCTGAAGTAAATGGGATTATACCCATAATACTTAGCTTTCACACAGCACTTTTTACCTACAGAATTCCAAGTCAATTACCTAGGAAACAATTAGCTTTGCTTTACTTGCAGCAAGCTGATGGCAGAGTCGTGTAGAATAGACCAAAGTCCAGGTGCTGTTCAACTGTGGCTTAAACAGATCTAGATTAGGGCTGCCACGCCACTGTGGTCCCCCATCCACTCTTGTCCTCTGCCTTGCATTGCCTCCAGTTCAGGGAGCTAAAATAATAAAAAAAATAAAAGCTAATCTGGAAAAAAAACAGTTATTAACTGGAGCAGCTTTCTGAACTGACCTATCACCTGATCACCTAAGTACAACTCCTTGCAAGAAGTAGAGGGCAGGAAGGGCTATGGGTGAAGGAGAGTGCAGAATCGTGGGTTTGCTTACACTGCCACAGAACGACAACCTTGGAGCCCCAGAACCAAATATTCCCTTCTGTAGCATCGTGTAATATTTAAAAAGCACACATTCTTCTGAGAAGAAGATAATTCTTTCTATATTACAGTAGCAGAAAACAAGTTCCGCACACAACAGAAGACTGCAGCTGAACCCTGCTTGAAACTGTAGTCCTTCAATAGTTTCTTTGAACTATGCTGCCTTTAGTAGAGAACATCTACTCCTTGGTATAAGGAAAGGCAGTCTGCAAATTTTCATTGGTCCTTGCTACATTTCTTATTCCTTATTATTTTTGGTTAGGTTGAATACGTACCTCTGCTTCCATTTGGTAAGTATTTTCTAGTCTACTAAAATCCTCTGTTACAGTCATATTTTCTTCCTAAAACAAAGTACAAGAATATAATCTTAAAAGACATAAAATAAGCATCTGTTGGAAATATATGTACATTGTGTCCTGTAAAAGTTGAACTGTTTTGGCTTATTACTTAGCAACAGAAATTTGGAATTTTTCATGCAAATCTCTTCAGTTAAAAACTAGCTGGATGTTAAAGACTTCTTGACATTATTTAAAGTAAATTGTACACTAGCTGTATAATGTAATTTCGCTGCTATTCACTTGAAGAGCAATTAGGTCTTAAAAGTGACTGCTAGCTAGAAGCTGTGTGTATCAGTGTGTAACTGTAAATTCACCTGGTTCAAAAAACTAGAAGCTTCAATTGTTTTCAGAAAGTGAGTATGTGAAAAGGGCTTTTCAGGCCCCTACCTTAAGATCTTTTAACAGTAGCAGCTTGTAGCAAGGTGATGTGAACAATGACTGAGCACTGGTTATTCTGGCAGAATGGTAACCCGTAAAAGAGGCTATTCCACCAGTGACACTGTTGCGTTAACAGCAGCTACTTTATTCAACATAACAGCTGCACAGAGCACTAGCATACCCTGTAAGACTTGTAAGATACTGAACTAAGACACAGAATAACTCCAGTTACATCTGAATATTTGACCAGCTTGCTAGCAGTCTAACAATCACATTTCTTTCACCCACTTCCCTCTTCGGTAAACAGTTTGGACGAACAATTTATTGTAAAATTACTATAACACAACAAAAAAGCACAGTTTACAATTTAATTGTAAATATAACTTCGCATTTAATACCCAGGAACTGTAGGGAAACAGATACTAAGCCTTCCAATTACTGAAAAAGTTGTATTTACTAAATTTATTTGCATAGGAAAACAATATTTGCTTTCAGTGTTGACACATTTCAAAAGATGCTTTGTGTCAGAATATTTCCTACAGAGGCTCAAATCTGCAAGTTTATCATGTTGCATGCATGCATAAGTTCATATAAATGACATTAATCATGAGAAGCATTTTCCTTTTAAAATATCATATGGAAATTAAATCCATAATTACCGTTACACAGCAGCCTACAAGAAACAAATTTTGACATTTCAATTTTATGATTGATTGGCAGTGCTCAAATTCAAGCACAACAGTCCTATTTTTGGATAATCTCTTCTAGTAAGGGCAAGAACCAGGGCCAGTTAGTCCCTAATAAAACCTATTTCCCCTTTTGGAATCACGGGTTTGAGGTACTTTGGCAGCGTGGCTGGCTGTAGTTTGCTAAAGAGTGCTCAAGTCAGTCCAGCACCAACAGCTCATTTAATTTACAATATGGAGCAAATCTTACTATTTATGATAGAATCCAATTACAATTGACAAGAAAGCTTTTCTGTGTGGTTATTTCTATAAGATATGCAAGAGCTCTAGAGAAAACCTTTCTTCTACAACTCATATTTTACAGAAATAACTATACTGTAATAAAACTTTAGAGTAAGCATGTTTTTCCTTGTCCCCGCTTCTTAATCCTTTTTTAAAAAAAAAAAGTTCTCTTTCCTGCTGAACAGATTCAAGTCTAATTTGATTTTGCCCTCCACAAGGTTCCAGTGTATTTAAGGACAGTGCCATCCTGTGGCTCCAGGCACTATTGCAAGATCAATGCAATCGGAGTGAAAGATCATTTTGTGCCATCCATTATAAAATTTCCCTCACAGCTAATTTTTATCCCACCAGATTTTGACAGTAGCTGTATGTGTTGTTAGAGATAAATGGAGGAAATAATTGCTGAAGTCGTAACAAGGTGGCCTCCTGTGATACATCTTCTGTTAGATACTTTGTTCCTGTTCGGGAGTGTGTTCGGACAAAGATACGGAAAAGGCAGGTAGGCGACGACAGAATTTTAAATTGGAACGAGGACTTCGACTACATCAAAAGCAAAAGCCTTTTTTTCCTAGTGCTTATGTCTACTGTTCGTATTTTGGCTGAGGAACTATCCATTTGATTGCAATAGCCACAGGAAAAAATGTTTTCACTGTGACTTAGGGAAAGCTACACTTCTGGTGTCCCAGGTGTTCTGGACTTCTGGAATAACTTTCTCCATTTTCTAAATCTGTGGGCCAAGAATCACAGTAGAAAAATTAACTGAATATAATGTTATTGTTATGTGAGAACTCAATTGCCCCAGAAGCCATTGAACAATTCTTAACAGAATCGCACTTGCATTCTGCTTATATAGCCTATTTTTTGAGCCAGCAGTGACATAAACCATCACTGTTGCAGGTACTGTAAACACAAAAATGAAAGAGACAGTCGATATCCCATTGAGCTTACAATATCAAGTCTAGAACTGTGCTTTGCCTTATAGTTTCCTTCTTTTCAACAGAAAAAAAAAAAAAAATCTTATCTAGCCCTTCCTCCTACCTATCTGCTACTTCTGACCGGTTTCTTCTTCGCAGGACCATTGCGTCCACCCTCATGACACCGTCGCTGTTTACAGGAATGACTGCTCCTTTCCCCGATAGAGAACAGGGAAAAAAACCTAAACAGATAATCAGCCAAAGCACACTTCAAGGAGACAGCTATAGAACAATACAGTATGAGAAAAGCCTACCTGCAGATAAACTTCTGTGTTCTGGTTACTGAGTTAACAAAACTGTGAGACCGTTTTATGAAACACAAGACCAGTCTCAGTAAGGGAAAATGTTTATAGTTTGGAAATGTATGCTAATGCACCGTTCTGGTGAGCTACGCTGATATGTGTAGTTATAAATAAAAAAAATTTGGAGACACCTGGAAGTGTCTCTTAACATTGACTTGTACATTTGCACTGATATATCCAATATAACTTCACATTATGAAAAATAAAGATATTTAAACAACCAAAAGAGTTAGCTTCTTCCACCTGAACATAGCGTTTTTGTTCTTAGTACTAAAGAAACGTTTAATGAGAGTCCTGATGTATGCTCTTATCTCCTAACAGTCCATCCATCACGGGCAGTTAGGGGTGATAAGCACCCCAGCTAGGCATCTGGTACCTGTGCTCCAGCCTCTCATCCCCTCACTCTGTCTGTTCTGTTTGGCATTAGACAGACAGAACAACCACCTAAAAATCTATGGTGAAGAAGTTTCTGCTGCTTAATGTCCATTCAAGAAATAACAGAAGTATACGTAACAGTTATTTTAAGAAAGGTAAAAAGCAGATTTGTACTCAGCAAATGTTAAGGATACTTTGGGGGTATTTCTTAAAATACGTGGTAGTCCAAAAAAGGTGATGCCTTAGCCAGGTTTCTACCTGTCTTATTCAAGGATATATTGAAGTTGGAAGATTTTGTAACTGAGTGAGCAAAACTTCAAAATCTTTTTTTTTAACTGACTGTATGGATGTGCATCCATAACTGTGACTCCTAAATAACAGTTTTGAAATATGGAGAATATTGCACATATATCCAAGGATATATCTCAGTACAGACAAAAATCTAAGCCAGAGCCCACTGGGTATAGTTTGTGAGCTAGTTTGTTTGTTTTGTTAAATAACACTCTGACCGGTACAACAAATATTATCACTGTTAAACAAGATGGCCGATGCCAATTGTTAGATACAGTGATTAAAGAAAACAAGTGTCATCTCCACACCACTCCAAGTAAATCATAGGTGGTAAATATAAAATCAGCTTGCTTCTAGTGAAAGAGAAAAAAACATTACTTTTGAGCAGCTGGGCTGAGTAAGAGAGATTGGTTTCCCCATTGATTTTACTTTCCCTGCAGCCTTCAAAGCATATTCTGTGCTCTGAAGTGCTGCATACACTTACAGCACACTATAAATAAATGCTACTATGTGCATCTATTTCTGATTAAAATCCTATGTAAATATGTATGGAAATTAGGTGCTGCCCCCAGGCATCCTGACAAGCTGCTAATGCAAGCTCCTGCTGTTGCAAGTCTGATCTCACAGACTTCCTACGATAGCAACAACAAGGGTTAAGGAAATTGTTCTACAGATTAATTAAAAATGAATATATAGAATAGCCAGCTGATTTCTAAAGAGGCCTTAGATAAGCTTGCAACAACTAGAACCATATGGAGACTGTGAAGAGATATTTATTTTACAGTGGTCTAGAATAGTATTAGCTACAAGTGATGTTAGCAAATGCCGTTAAGAACAAGTTGCCAGCAGTGAGAGTTGTTAGTAGAAAAGCTACAAGGCAAATAAAAGCTCCAGCAGCGGAGTGATTTAAAATTGGATGGAACAAAGCACTAAAAATTGTACCGCAGGGAACTACTCTGAAAAAAAAAACAACTTCATGTTGTTTTTCTCAGAGTTCCCTAGAGCTAACACTTTGCTAACACTGAGAAACCCACAACTTAAGCAGCATTTCGCAGTCCCTCAAGTAGGAAGAACTAACATTTCCATTCTCCAATGCATGGCATCTCTGAAACAGCAGAAGATTACTGTGGAATTATTATAACTATAATAAGACTCTGAATGCTCTCACATTGTAAAAACAGTCCACTCTCCACCTAGGTTACACCACCACTGCTTACCTGCTCCCATTACATTTCTGAATCTGACTGCATATACCCAAATATAACCATTTGTTTGTCCAGGTCATACTTCATTTTGCAATTACTTTTTCTAGCCTGGAGTAGTGCGCACAGCCCCTCTAAAGCACGCTCACTTGTTTAACATCCTGCCTGCTCCTTTTGTGTGCCATCCGCCATGTCTTGAGTGCTCCATGCTATCCTAATTCAATTCGGCTCCTGTCAAAACTGGAAGTCAGTTATTCAGATTCACTGTAGGGTAAATTTCTGCAACTATCTTTTCTAATCTATCCACACTCTGAAGAGGTATTTAATTGCAGCCAGGATGAAAATACCCCATGATCTGCTAGCTTACCATGGTGGTGGGTACAAAGCTTATTGTTTTCTCTGCTAATAAAAATGAGTGCACGATGAGTTGCCTTGTCTTCTCCCGTTCCTCTTAAAATCCACCAGACTTTAAACTCCTATTAACTCACTTAATAGAAACTGAAGGCATACAACCTGTAATCCCATCCAAAAATGCACCATTTCTGACTGAACAAGTCATTCTGATGGTAACAGAATTGTGCTCCCCGTGACAGACACGCACCCAGCCATGCGTTTGGGAAAAATGTAGGGAGCAGGATCACGTATGTAGCCCACAGCAGCCTCCGTGTCTCCTTGCCATCTAGTCCCATAGCTGCAATATGAGCTTCTTCTAAACCAGGGGTTAAGGGGTCTTTTTTATTGCCGCCTTTATTCCTGAACAAATGCTTTATTTAGCTACTACAGAAACAGAGACAGCATCCCTATCAGTTTTAAAAGAAAACAGTAAATCCTATTTTGTTGGGGGAAAAAGAAAAGTTGGAGTCAGCACTTACCTTCAAATGCATGCAGCATTTCACTGTATGCAACTGGGCATGCAATTTCACTGTAAGCGCATCACTGTTTAGGGCGAGTAACCTGCTCTCTTATTTTGCATTTACTAATACTAAATTGCATTGTAACATGATGCAGTATCATGAAACCCTTCTGCAATTCTTTTTTACTACATTAAATAATTTGGTGTTGATAGCAAACTCTGTCATCTCCCTTTTCCCCAGCTCATTTGTGAATACGCTAAAAAGGCACAAACTTCCTGGGGAACTTCAATAGTAAGTAACTTTCAAAAGCAACCACTTATTCCATCAAAGATCAGCTTTGTCCTGTTTTAAGAGTCCTAGGTGTGGAACACTGTCCAAAACTGTTTTATAAAGTCCAAGAACATCAGCACCACAATTGCTAGGACAAATGTCACCCTTACCACTGTCCAAAACTGTTTTATAAAGTCCAAAAACATCAGCACCACAACTGCTAGGACAAATGTCACCCTTACGGAGGAGCATTTACAGTGTGGACAAAGCTTTTTAAAGGCAAGACTACGCTCTTCTCATTGTCATAAAATGACTTCCTGAGGCCAAAAACCTTATTATGCTAAAGGAACTTTTTGAGTCCACGAGGGGCTTCTGTCACTTCAGCTACCTTGATCACGTCTCATGTTTTTTCATACCTCTCTCCTTCAGTGGAGCAAGAAAATGAAAGCGGAAAAAGCTCTGTAGGCATTCGTCGCTACGGTAATCACATAGTTACACTGACACTTACACACGTGTATAGGTTATGTCGCTGTGTACCCCTTTATCAGTTTCATCCGTATGCACGTGAGGATGCTGTATCACATGAACAGATTAAACAGTCGAAGCAGGATGGTTTTCACATGCAAAACGAGCAACCCGTTGGAGAGCCCGAGCAGCGACATTCCACCTTTTCTGCTGAGGCTGGCAAAGCTGCAACCTCCCAAAGACAGGCAGGCTTTCACAGCAGCGCCCCAGCGGCCGGTGCATTCCCGAGGCGGAGGACCGAGAGCTCCAGACCCCGTTACTCCTCTGCTTCCCGCCGGCCAGGCCGATGCACGCAGCGCCCCACGCACCGGTCCCGGGGCCCCTCCCTCAGCGGGCGCCTTTCCCCTCGGAGCTGCCCCAGCCCGGCCGCCCCCGCTCCCGCTCCCGTCGCC